AGAAAAAAAAAAAAGAATGTATTACTTTGAGGAAGCATTGGAACGGACAGTGGTTAATTGTGTCTTTTATTTAGCGCAGCCTGTCGCTGAGACAAGGCGCTTTGGGACTGGAAGCAGAAACCGAGCAGTTCCAGATTGATGGCTCTTATATGCGCTTGTAGACAAGGTTAGCTCCTGGGCCTGCAATTTCGCTCCTCTGTATAAAAAAACCCAAAATCTGTGTGTAATAAGAAGATGTCACAAGTATTCCCTGAGGCAGATCCTTTGCTGGATCCATTGAAGATTTGGAACCATGGAGGCTCGTGACCTTGCGAGTGATTCACTTACTACTCTTCTGGCGCTTAAATCATGCCACACATACAATGTCTCTACAAAATCAGCCATTGCTGTAATGGACTCGCTCGCCTTGCCAGTGAGCGTGTTAGCTGGGGGTTACCAGGTGTACGAATTTAAAGTAAGATGTCCCCTAAGAGTTATCCAAGCCTTGGCTTTTTTCTGTTTTTTTTTTTTTGAAATGTCTAGCTCCTCCCCTCCTGCCTGGATGTCACGTCCCCAAGGGCTGACGTCCCAGCTGGATCCTTGTCACTGCGAATGCTACCTCAACTGGTTCAACTTTCTCCTGTCTTCAGCCCTCTCGAGTAGCTGGATTACGAGCAAATCCCCATGCCTGTCAATTTTGTGTATCTGTGATGTGTTTGTGTTTGTTTTTGAGCAGTGTCTCCCGCTGTTGCCAGCTGGATGCAGTGGCAACAATCTCAGTCACTGAACCTCTGACCTCCTGGTTCGCAAGTGATATCCTGCCATCACGTGCCCCTGAGTAGCTGTTGAGATAGAGTCTCACTCTGTCACTCACGCTGGAGTGCAGTGGTGTGATCTCTGCTCACTGCAACCTCCACCTCGCGGGTTCAAGCGATTCTCCTGCCTCAGCCTTCCCAGTAGCTGCGATTACAGGTGTGTGCCACCACGGCCAGCTAGTGTTTTTTGTATTTTTAGTAGAGATGGGGTTTCACCATGTTGGCCAGGCTGGTCTCGAACGGCTGACCTCAAGTGATCTGCCCGCCTCAGCTTCCCAAAGTGCAGGGATTACAGGCATGAGCCACCGCACCCGGCCTACAATGTTATTTCTGCAAGAACCTAAACTGATGTTTCCAGTCTATTCTCTGGGTAACTGCCCGATTGAAGGCCCACATCTGTGCTGACCTCAGCTGGACCAAGAGTCACTTAACTCCCGGAATCTCGAAGCAGAGGCACCGGGCCAAGAACTTCACAGTGAGACATCTGTCTCCTAGAACAGGGGGTAGCAGATTGCGGGCAACAGGAAGAGCTCATTCCCCACAGGGATCTGGTGGCAGGGGCCAAAAGTGGAGCGACCCTGCGCGTAGCGTTTAGGGGCTCAGGCTTTGAGAACCCGGGTTCTATTCTAGGCTCTGCCATTTAAGTTGTCTCCTTTCTCCGAGCCCCACCACCTTCCTCACCTGTAAAATGGGGGAAACGGTACCACTCGACTTGCAGCTTTGCTGTGAAGGAGCGAGGCTAGGGGTTGTGTTTAAATTGAAAATGCTCAACGAGAAAAGTGCTCAGTAGAGAGCGGCTACTCACATCCGCTATAAGCCTTCGCACTCCTGCCAAAAGCCAAGGGCCGCCACCCCATCGTACCGAACGTGCCTGCAACCGGGGCGCTGTGGCAGGCCACCGCCCGACCCCCAGCCCAGGCGCGACACAAGCGCTCCCCTCCCGTCGTTCCGGCTGCAGAGAGTGGGGTACGGCGGGGGACAGCGAGGACGCCGAAGCACCCCCCCGGGCTCCGGGACGCCGCGGCCCAAGACCCGAAGCCGCCCACCTACCGGAACACGGCCCGCGCACGTGCCTAGCGACGTCTCGGTCCTACGCCGCCGCCGGTGCCACCAGAGTCCCAGATCCGCTGACCCAACGCCCCGCGCACCGCCGCGGGCCAGCCACGTGACGGGCCGCGCCAACCCCAAACCCCGAACTTGGCGCTGGACAGCTCGCGCTCCGCTAGGTGCACCCCGCGCGCCAGGCTTAGGCTTGGCCCCGCCCCGGAAGGCGCCCAATCAGAGAGCGCAGTCAAGCAGGGGCCGCCACCAAACGCACCCGCGCTATTGGCTGCAACGGAGCGGCGGACAGGGCTGGCTGCTCCGGGCCGGCTGGAGGCCTCGTGGTGCAGCTGCGCACCTGGGGCAGGGACCTGTAGGACTGACCCGCTTAGGCTGCAGGTCTGGTTTGTGGACCGAGATTTCTGGGAAGACTGCACAGGGCCTTCCTCACTTAAGCCTGTCGCTTGGGCTGTGGGATTATGAGTGAATTTTGTTCATGGTACTACTTTTAGTTAACAGGGTGGTCATTTAAATTAGGACAAATGTGGGTCTAAACTGCAACATTATTACTCTGTAGGTGTATAATCCAAGAGCAGGCACTTTATTATTATTACTGTTATTTATTTATTTATTTATTTATTTTTGAGACAGGGTCTCACTCTGTCGCCCAGGTTGGAGTAGACATGGGCGTCTAACTGTGTTGCCTCCGGGGAGGTGAAGGTTGCAGTGAGTCGAGATCGCGCCACTGCACTCCAGCCTGGGGGACTGAGCGAGACAACGTCTCAAAAAAAATAAAATAAGATAAATAAAACAGTGACACACAATAAGGACTCAATGAACATTATCTATTGTTAAGAATGATAAAAACCGGGGCCACATGTCAGGACCACCTGAGGCTGCGTCATATATTTATTTATTTATTTATTTATTTGTCAAATAATAATAATAATGATTATAAGAATGATAAAAACCGGGCGCAGTGGCTCACCCCTGTAATTCCAGCACTTTGCGAGGCCGAGGCAGATGGCTTGAGACTAGGAGTTCGAGACCAGCCTGGGCAACATGGCGAAACCTTGTCTCTACAAGTAATTTTAAAATTAGCTGGGTGTGGTGGCAGTCGCCTGTAGTCCCAGCTACTTGGGAGGCTGAAGTGGGAGGATCGCTTGAGCCTGGGAGGCAGAGGTTACAGTAAGCAATGATCTTGCCTCTGTACTCTAGCCTGGGCAACAGAGTGAGACCCTCATCAGCTCAAAACCAAAAACAAAAAAATACAAAAAAAATTTTTTTTTGAGACAGCATCTCAAAAAAATACAAATAGAAATTAAAGATACTAGGTTTTAGTCTCCCAGTTGAAAATAAGAGATTTTCCTCCTCTCCTTTTTCTTTGAGCATTTACTTTTGAAAACTTGTAATTGTAACTGTTTTTGGTTTTTTTTGTTTTTTTTTTTTATGGAGACAGGGTTTCACCGTGTTAGCGGCCAGGCTGGTCTCAACACCTCCTGGCCTCAAGCCTGTCCTGCCTACCCAGCCTTCAAAAGTGGCCTGGGATACAGACGTGAGGCCACCTCGCCCAGCCAATTTTATAAATTTTGAGAACGCGTGGGTTTCACGTGTTGCTTAGGCCTTCCGTGGTTAACTCCAGGTTCAAAAGGATCGCCCCATCCCTTTGACCCCACTAAGTGGCTGGGGATGTACAGGCATAGCCACCATGGCCAGGCTTTTTTTTTTTTTTTCTTTCCCTGAGACGGAGTCTTTGCTGTTGTCATCCAGGCGGAGGCGTGTGTGACTCTTTCGGCTGCACTTGCAAACCTCCATCCTCCCTGTGTTCAAGGCAAATTCTCCCTGGTCTCAACGCCTCCTCAAGTAGCTGGGATTAACAAAAAAAAAGGCGCCGCAACCGACAACCGCCTAATGTTTGTAATTTCTTATACGTAGAGATGGCGTTTCAACCATGTTGGCGCAGACTGGTCCTTCGAACTTTCTGACCTCCAGGTGACTCTGCCTGCCTTTGGCCTCCGCCCAAAAGTGCTGGGATTATAAGGCCGTGAGCCTCGTGGGACTAGCCAAAACACCTGTAAATTCTTTTAGAGATTAATTATTCAAACAAGTCCTGTTTTTAAAAAAAACAACCAAACACAAAAACCACACAGGGTTCTTTCTCTCATCCAGGCTAGAGTGC